TCAGACAGTGCTACAGTGCACAGAGTGAGAGTCCAGAAGTGCGCTCAGATAAAAAAATAGTGCACATAGTGAGAAGGCAGTAGTGTTCTTATACAGCAAAGCAGTGCACTAGTGATGTGCGGTTGTGAGAAACGAACCCGCACCCACCTGACCTGATTTAAAATGATAAAAGTACTGACCCGAACCCAGTCGGAACCCGCTCCATTAGAAATTACACCGAACAACAGGGATGCGGGGGTCGACTTTTTTTTTTTACCTGCACCTGCCCGCGGTTCTGAGAAACGAACCCGCACCCGCCCGACCCGAATTAAAATCTTTTTTTTTTTTTAACCCAAGCCCACCCGACTCGCGGGTAAACCCGCACCTGCCGGTGGATGGGAGTCAGCCCGCGCACCCCTACAGTGCACCCTGTGAGAGGGCAGCAGTGAATTAGGAGTCTTACCCTAACCACACTGAAGTCCAGCTTGGCCTCCTGGGCACACTGCAGGATCAGCTGGAAGCAGCTCTTGCTCTGATTGGTCATTCCATTGTCGTAGTAACGCTGCAGGATACGCTGTTGCTCGGCAGTGAAGACAGAGCGCAAGTTCATCTGCAGGAAGAAGACATGTCTGTGTGGCATCCTCCTAACTCCCAAAGTAAACTGGGGCTGGCCTGCTCTGCACGTGTGTTTTGTCCCTTTGCTTTCTGCAGTGTGACACACTATGACAATACCTCTTCAGGGAGCCGTGCTGAAGGATGCAGGCTACCTACAGCTTCAACACAAACTCAAGTGTAAACACTCCCATTCCTTCCCCATTACCGGCTCATCTGCACAAGATGACATTCCTCCTGCACATTGCCAGCTCTTCCCGGGACAAGGATGGGAGTCACCATCCTGCAGCCCCATCAAGCAGTCTTCCAAACCCACATCAGACCCCATCCCGAACACACCGATTCTGAACCCTAACCCTACTCCCGGGAACCCTGCAGCGTTCTTCCCCTTTCTGTCCAAGGGTGTCCAGCTCTACTCACAGGGCACCACTTTATCTGCAGGTTTTCATTCCAGTTCGGTCTTTCATGAACTACATTCAGGTGAACTACATATACACTAGTAATCCCTCTGAAGACTAACAACAGGAAACTGTACCTTGAGTGAAATAAATAGTTTAAGTAATCCACTATAAAGGACCTTGAAAACTCACATATACGTCAAAGAAAATGGCTGTCCATCCTTCCAGAGGACAGCAACACAGCTGACAAATCTTCAACCTCTATGAGGAGAAGAATGAAGAATTTGGAAAGACTTCCCTGCTCTGTAGTATATTGCAAAAATGGTCAAATGGCAACCTTTTTTTAAAAGAATTAAAAGTTTCAGCTCTTGGCTGCAGATAATCCTGAATCAACACAGCGATCTGCAGCACCCAGGATAACTGAGCAATTAAGGATCAGTCCCTGACTTACTGGAAGGTTCAAAGGCTTTTGGGTTACGGACTCCTTAGGCCAAAGGAGGACTGAAAAGCTTGCAAGCATCAGGCTGTCTGATCCTGGACGTGGAGAGGCAGGGTATCTGCAGGAGCTCTGGGGTCTCTGGAAAGCAGCAGCAGCTGAAGAGCCAGAGGCTCTGCTCAGCTGGTGCCCTTAAACCAACAACAAGTGGTTGCAGCTCAAGAGCTACTGTCAGTGGGAAGGGAGACCTGTAGACACACCAGCCCCTCCAGGACCAAGTCAGAGACCTCGTGTGATCCGCAGATATCGTTCACATTCCACCAGGAGCTGATGGATCTCGTGAGGAGCCGAGTCTCAAGGAAAACGCGCTCTCGGGGGCCACAAGGCCGAGGAAGGAGAGGACAGAGAAAGTCAGGATAAAACAGGGTTCCCGGCCTGGTCGTGGTGACCCCCACCCCTGCTGTTGGCACCCCATTCTGCCCTTCTTAGATCGCTGACGCCCTCCAGGGTCTAAGCAGTTGCTTCATTGGAATATTTACATTTTGTTTCTAGTCACAAGTCTGGGGTTTTATTTCACTGACAAACGACAACAACAAAACAGCTCCCACCCGGGTAAGAGCTGGGACCCCAACAGCGCACATGCATCTTGTTCTCATGAAGTCAACGGAGGGCTCGAAGGTGTCAGTGGAGGCTGGGCTGGAGCTGAGACCCCCAGGTGTGCGGTCAGCCGGACAGGGAGAGGGAGCCCCCGGGATACGACATCGGTATCTGCGGCTTGTTCTGCTTCCACATCGGAAGCGGGGCCTTCAGCCCGCCGGGGCCGAGACAGTGTGGTTATTTATAGCGACCAGTTATCGCCACCTGTCATTCTGTCAGGCTGACGGAACTGCCTCAGAAGGAGGAAATTAAAAGAAAAAAAAAACACCGCTCCTGTCTGTGTCGTAAAAACTGTGAATAAGACGTAAGTAATCGCAAGCCCGTGCAAAGCTCAAAAAGAAGCCGAGTTTCGAGAGGAGCAGGAGTTTCAACACACATTAATCCTTTCAGGTTGACGTCAAAACAGGAAACGATGCATATTAAATACAATTGGCATGCAAATTTTATTCAAATCCCCCGTGTTTCTGCCGAAGAAAATACACTATTTTGAAACCCTACCTAATGACATAACAATTTTCTTATTTTAAAACTTGGTCTGAAAAACAGCCGATATGTTAATCATCAGAAGGAGAAGAGTACAGAGAGCATCGATGTTCGTGCATTCCTTTTGGATCGCCAGGAATATTCAGAATTGAGCCAACAAACACAAAAACAAGTGATCTTGCATTTTGAGACGAGGTAATATCAATGCTTTGTGACGCCGAAGACACAAATCGAAACGCGCCGTATCACCAACAGTTCATTTAATTGTCTGAGAAGCTTAATGGCGCTATGGATAGACGGCATCAAGTCAAAAGTCAAATAAACAAGCTATATTTGGTAGAAGCGGTTTCGCAGGCGCCCCCCCAAAAAAGACCACTTTCACGGGGGAAAACAACATCGCATTGCCTGGGTAGATTTCTCAGCACCGCGCTTTAGCGATCACAGACGGTAGTTCAAAAGCTTACGAAATAGGAAACGTTTACTTTAAAAAAATAAATGCCAGCGAATTCATTAATGACGGAAAAGGCTCAGACAACCCCTCTTCCTGCCCGCGGTCAGGCAAGGAAAGGGTTACGTCATTCCTCGCTGGGCTTTATCTAGCGGCTCAGTGCGCATGGCCGCTGTGCGCGCTATTGATCGCATTACAAAGAGCGCTGATGATGAAGAAAAACACACATCCACCCAGTTCACGACAAGGGCAAAACTGATCGCCGGAATAGAAAGCTCGCACAGGAAACCAGTGCGGTAAACTTTCGAACTTATAGCTCCGGGTGAGGGCGAGCGGCGCGCCGCGACTTCCAAGGCGAAGACTGTGTGGATGGAAAACCGGGCGAGGTGCCGATAAGGAAAACATCGCAAGGCCCTGGAGGCCATGCGCCTGCATGTAACTAAACTTTTTCTTTAAATGTGTTTTTGCGGTTTCCCCGTCCTAAGTTGGGCTGCAGTCTGAGCCCCCTGCTTTTCCCAGGGGGCCGCCTGGCCGCCTGCCGAGAAGTACGGAAAGCGAGGAGATAAATAATTTGCCAGATACCTTTTTTTTTGGTGAGAAATCAAGCGAACGCTCGAATTCAGCAGATTTCTTCCCGACTCCCTGCGCCAGACAATGAAATCAAAACGTCCGATCATCAATTCTAATCATGATTGTGACGTGGCGGCAGACAGGAGCCAATGGCGGCCCGAGATCAGGACTGTGACAGCCGCAGCCGCCTGAAAGCCGAGCGCCCCTAGCCCGCCCACCGTTGACTTTGTCGGGGAGAGAGACAGAGGGAGGGAGAGCGAGGGAGACAATTTGTGGCTGTTTGTAGTTACTGACCCCCCCGGCCCTCTGATTCAGGCCGATCCCTCTTCACCCCCCCTGCAAACCGCGGGAATGATCTCGCAACAAGCTGTAGCTCTGTGTACTAAAAGATGAATGGGGGGGCCCGTCGTGTGCTCAAACTGATAACAGTGTGAATGTGCCTGAGGTAGTCTCATAAGGTTACTGGGGGGAGAGGGGATGGAAGTGAGGTTTAAGAAAATGCTCCGATATTTGATTATCCTGCATCAATGGGCAACGCATTGTCTCTGAAGCCTTTTATAATTCTGACCAGTGAATAATCGTTTTTTTTCAGCCTTTTACATAGAGTGGGGCTTTTTATAGGTAACACCCGATCTCCTGTATAGGTTGCATAAGATAATTCTTACCCTCTGTATAAGCAAAAAAAAATGAGAGAATAGTCTTAAACTAAGCCACAAAAAAAAAACCACCACATCAAGAAGAATGTATGGTTTTGCATGTATGCATTAGACTTTAGAACAGGTCAATAAAGGAAAAATCGACATTGGCTACATTTATTTTTTTCACATTCATCAATAGTTCTAGAAGTATATAAAAATAAAGATACCAGTAAAACATTTAAGTTATACCAATGTACAGTGTGTGCAGACAGGTCCTAATTAACCTACCTCCTATGTATTTTGGTATATTTAGATCACTTGATCGATAAATAATTGTTTTTTTAATGTACCGGGGGTTTTATCAAAGTATTGAACTTTGGAATTTATATTTTAATTGATTAATAATGCCCCCTCCCACACAACAGACTGACACAATAACGTTTTAGAGCTTGTGGGAGCTGGCTCAGTGTTTTTCAACTGAAGGCATTTTGCAAACATAAAATGACTTTCTAAAATTGGTAAACGCTGCTGCTCTGTGATGTCTTGTGAAACTGATCGTCACTGACTCCGTTTCACTTCTGAGATGTTGAATCTTACTGACTGTTCACGGTTTTCAATGCAATACTTCCAGTGTAGTTTCTAAATAAGTTTTAGACCTCATTCTGGAGAGGGAAGAGGTGATAAAAATATTATCAGTATTTTTAAGCGCATATGAGCAGAAACAGATTTAAATCCTTTTTATTTATAAAAAGGTTAATAACTATTTATATCCCTTTCCAACATCATGGGTTGTTCATCATGCTGAAAAGCAGAAAGAGAAAAGAAAAACTCACAACGTGTCAGCCACTTCAGGAATCCACAATAACATTATACAATGGTACGTTACTGTTAGAATTCAGAAACTCACCACTGTTCACAGCTCTACCTGGCTCTGGTGGGGTTTAAAACAACAGAGCACACAGCTCTGGGTTCTGAACATATATAAAAGATCTTAATGTGTCTGGGGCTTGACTGTGGCACTGTAGCACTGTTTTGTGTCTCTTATCCTACAAAAATGAAGAGACTGACACTTGTAAGCCCAAATTCTACCAGACTAGTTTAGAAGTAGAGATTGATTTTTTTTTTACTGTGAGCATGTCATTTCTTAACCCATGTGTACCTGTTACAGGGAGACCCTGCACTGGAGCTCTCTAACGTAGATCCTGGAGAGTCCCTGGACTGGTCAGTCTCGTCTGGGCGTTGTTCTACCTGAGCTCTCCGATGCTCTAATTGTTTAATTAAGCGCAGAGCTGCGAATACATCTGACCTGGCTCTGGGGTCTTTTATAAATATCGAAGTTAATGTTTTTAATAATCAGCTGTAACGGATCTTAAAATCCTGTGTATGTCACCTTCTGGAATATAATTAGGTTAATTGCCTACTCAGGTTGGCCCAAGGACCCGAAAGAGCAGTCTTCTCTTCCTCTGGGACACTCCTTGCTTCCCTGGTGTGCTCCTGGGTCATGAACACGCCTCTCAGTGATTTAACTTCTCTCTGCAGGAGATCAACCACATTGATTTACACCTTATTAACACGCGGGAGCCCTGTGACGAGCAGTTTTAATCCTGTCGCTTTTAGCCAAGGTGATTTCCATTTCTACAGCAGTGTCCCACCTGGGCTTTGACCCCACAGCCTGGGAGCTACAGATCCCGAACCCTGACCGTTCCTAGATATCAGCCCTCAGGCGAAAGAGAACCTGTGTGATCTAGTCTAGTGATCATCTAGTTTCCTCGCTGTCCCTATAAACAATGCAAAATATTATTTGTCTTCATTTTCGCATGGGGCGTGGCTTCAGCACTGCATTCTGGGATGGGACACAGTTTGTGAAGGACTTTCAGAGACGTAGCAGCCGCGTCAGAGGCGCAGTGGTCAGAACAACTGCCTGGCGGCCCTGGGGCCCTGGGTCCAATTCCAGACCTGGGGTGCTGTCTGTGTGGAGTTTGCATGTTCTGCCTGTGTTCACGTGGGTTTCCTCCCACAGATCCAAAACTTGTTGGTGGGTTAATGGGCTTCTGGGGAAAATTGGCCGTGGTGTGATTGTCTGTGTCTGTGCCTGTGTGTGCCCTGCGCTGGACTGGTGTCCCATCCAGGATGTAGCCTGCCTTGTGCCTGTTTTTTACCTGGATAAGTCCCAGCTCCCCCGTGACTCCGAATGGGATAAAGCAGTTAAAAAAGGGACAACAGCAGCATTAGTGCTGGGAGACTTCAGTATACCACATAGCTGCTCTGACTAGAAGCAGTGACTGAGCCAGTGGTATGAAGTTAATGCCAAGACTATTAAGAACAGTGTACTAATGATTTAAGCACCCACAGTTGACCTTAATCTACCAAAATACATAGGAGGTAGGTTAATTATGAACTGTATATTGGTATAATTTAAATGTTTTACTGGCATCTTTATTTTTATATACTTATAGAACTATTGATGAATGTATAAAAATAATAATAAAGAGAGTCACTATCGATTTTTCCTTTACTGACTTGTTCTAAGGTCTAATGCATACACTCAAAACCATACATTCTCCTTGATGTGAAGAAGTTTTTTGGTCTTAGTTTAAGATTATTCTTTCTCTTTTGTTTAGTTTTACAGAGGGTAATTATTTTATGCAAACTATACAGGAGATTGGGTGTCTCTTAGCTGTAGATTTACTAAAGATCAGAGAGCATTACAGTTCTGACAGCATGACAGCACCGTGTTTTTTTAGAAGGAATTCTAATTAAATTATATGACGATGCTTTTTTCTCTCCGTTTTTCGGTTTAGATTGTAAACAAGTTTTTAATCAGTCACGGACATTTCAGCAATAAGGTAAATATGAAAGTTAGGAACAACGTGTATAAAATTGCAAAAAACTATCTGGGGTATGTTTTATGTGTTCTTTTAAGATATTGTGAAATTTGTTAGGATTTATTGTTATGTAACAGTTACCAGCAAGTAACATGAAGCAGTATTTTTCGTTCATTGCAGATTTAATGAAGATTTAAAATCAAACCTCGCATCTAGTAGGAGCAGCTACTATACGAGCTATCAGCCTGATGGTCATCGCATTTTCCGAAGGTGTATATTTCTCCAGCAGGGGTCGCTGCAACGTACATTAAGAGGTCCCCGAATGATGCAGTACTTCATAACATCTTTGAAAGAATACCCTGTTATTGTTATTCTTTTTTCACTTTGCTCGCCGGATTAAGATCCATGTTTAACAGTGCGTGTAGCTCTACTTTACGAGCACCAAAAGGAACTGAATTCAATAAAAACACGTTTTTTTTTCCAGTTTCCTGAACTGTAACGCGTCATGATAACGTGTGTGACCCCGAGGGAGGGGACCGGTCGCCTGTGCTCTCCTCTCCTTTTTGGTGAGCTTGGGTGGGCCGTCGGTTTGCTCTTTCACCATCTGCAGGGGGACTGCGTGGTTTCTGCTTCTAGCGGCTCCGGTTTAAACAGAGTGTGGCGTTCACTTCGTAAAAACTATTTCGCGTCGTTTCTCCACCGCGATTACACTGAAAAAAAGAACGGGGAGCTTTAAAAGTAAAAAACAAAGTGAGGACACCATCACACTGGGAACCTGCCTGTAGGAAGAGTATATTCTAAACCCGTCCCTGCAAAAGTGGTAGAACAATTCTATTACAATGCAATCTTATGTATGAGAGCCAGTCGTGACACAAAAAGAGCTGACGCACACGCTGAGACGCCTGATTCACAGACGGCCTTTGGAAAAAGAATAAGAGGAAAGGCCGTGGTAGGGTGATAATTCTACAGATATCGGAACGAATCGATTAAACTTAATTTTATTTCGCAGTGGTGTGCCCTTATCTCATTGCCACATACCTAGACACCCGCTTTGATATTTATTGGTGCTGTACTCAATACTCAGTACGTTTCATAGCTCGAATCAACTCGAGATGAAAGTCACTCATTGGTGGATAATTAGGAATAAACTACAATACGGGGGGAAAACATCTTTAAGAGCGCAGACCACTGCCTTAAAGGGCGGTTCTGAGTATTTTGTTACGTTCTCAATTTCTACATTGTCTGGGGGGGCCGGCTCGTCGGAGAAGGGTTTGTTCATATTAAACCGTGAAACACGGGCGACAAGAAGCCAAGGGAAACCACGTGGAGCAGAAGACTGAGAAAGGAGCCAATGTCTTTACCCAAAGGGGTGTGGGAGTGTGGAACAAGCTGCACCGCCATGTCTTCCTTTATAATAATGTTCCTTTATTAGCCCTATACAATTTCTTGCATTAGGAATTCGTCTTTTCACATAACTCAGCTTTTCTCCACGGAGACACAGCCAGGGAGAGAAGCTTGGGGTCAGAGCACAGGGTCAGCCATTGTACAGCACCCCTGGAGCAGTTGGGGTGAAAGGCCTTGCTCAGGGGGCCCAACAGAGTAGGATTCCTCTGCCGGATTTGAACCGGCAACCTTCCAGTCACAAGCGCTTATCCTGAGCCACAGAACCACCGCTCCGCCTAATGAGACAACAGACAGCTAACTACTGAACGGGCTGGAATGGTCTCTTCTCAGTTCTCCCTGGTGTTATGTTCTCTAAGCAATAGAACAGTTTCGCTGTGCACATACGCTTTACAAAGTAATGTCAGTAAACTGTTACGTCAAAGTAACGACTGGATTTAGTACCGTGTAAAACACTACACTATGAAAAATAAATAGAAACAATAAACTAAAAGGAGCGGCTTAAAAAATGAAAGACCCAGGAGTGGAAATGCATTTTTCAAAGCTTAGAAGCAAAACATAGATACATTAAAAAGAATATTTGGTATCAGTAAACCGTATTTTAATATATAGTACTGTACTTCAGCGTTACCGTTTTTTGTACTGTATGTGGTCAGTTATAGTGATACTTTAAATACTGTTGATGCTAGACTTGTCTGCAACAATCAATACCAGGACAGGAGAGGGGCAAACTAAATATGTCTGAGACGGGAGAGCATTGCAGAAGACACGTGGCTGCTGGAGCTGAATGAGGGGCAGACGGCCTCCTATCCGTGCGCTTCTGAAATCCGTGGACCGTCTGGTTGGGGGGAAAAACACAAATACACCAGCAGACAGCTATTAGTTCTCGCTACAAAAAGATTTGACGGTTTGTAAATCGTTACTACATGCTAACCTTTCCAATCGCAGACGAAAGGTATTGTTCTCGCGTGTTTGCTTCAACGCTGCTTGGGGCGGGGTAAACTGGCCGGTCTGCCCTGGGGTGTCGTGCGCCCCCGGTCGCCCACAGCGGCGGGGGGGGGGGGAGCCCGAGCCCGCGCCCGTCCGCGTGCGCCTCGCCGCTGCAGCGCCACTTCCTCGTTCCCCTCACGCGGGCGGCTGGCTGCGCGGGGTGTGATGCCGTCTCGTGCAGCGGGGAGGTGCTAGACGCGCCCGGCGCTCGCGAGGCGCCTCTCCCCTCATTCCAGCATCGGCGAGCGGGGCGGCAGGCAGGAGGGGACTGAGCCGCGGCGATCCAGTGAGAGAGAGAGAGAGAGCGAGAGAGAGCGCGTGTGTGTGTGCGCGCGTGGATTGCACCATCACATGCCTTCGCCCAGTGCACCAGCCATGCTTTGAAAGGCTCCAGCTATCTCTGCATTACATGGTTATCTACCCAGAAATCGGCTTCTGCGTCTGAACCGCTTGTTAAACGAAGACGTTCGCTTTGGCGTTTATTCACGAGAACAGTGGCTATCGATTATGGCATTGGTTATGGAACCTATAAGCAAATGGACACCCAAGCAGGTATTGGACTGGATGAAAGGTAATCGAATTTTTAATTATGGTTTCATTTTTCTTAGGATGCTGTTAAATGAATTGCCTCCGATGTATTGTACCGCGCTCGACTGTGATTGCATTTCTGTTTTTCTTTCTTTTTTGTGCACGGTACAGGTGAAAGGTTGTTATTCCCTGGCCAGCTGTGTACAGAGAGACGCGTAGCCCTCACGCTGGCGGGGTTAAATTCAGACCCTTGCACACTATTGTGCGGCGCCCTGCTTGCATTTCGAAGTACATGGTTTTGGCAGTAGTACACCACTATAGTCACTGGCTGGTATACGATTGTGCAAATCAGAGGAGAGAGAGAGAGAGAGCGTGTGTGTGTGCGTAGCGTGATTTGGAGTTGTTCGGGGTTCGATCAATGAGCGCCCCTCTCTCCCCGTGAGCGGCAGATCAGGTGGGCTGCTGCGGCGGCTCGCCGGGCTGGGGGAAACGGTGATGAGATCTCGCCAGGAGATGCTCCTTAGTGTGCGTTCATTTCTTTCAACCCATTTACAGAACGAATGGCTTCGTGACAGAGACGCATCTGCAGCTGTTCTGTGTGTGTGTGTGTTTATACGAAATCTGCTGCTTTGGGCTCATCCGCTTAGTTTGCTGAGCGTATTTCTTCCCTCTCTCTCCCTCTCCCTGCATCTCGCCCTCTCTCTCCCTCCTTTATTGCAATCCTATTTAGCTAAGCCTTAGCACCACGGACAGTGCAGCAGGCTCGCCTTATATGGAAGCCGAGACAGATCATCCTAATTTTCCTATTAGAGGCTTTAGCATTGGGCCACAGACCCAATTAAGCAGCAATTACTCCAGCCTGTCGCTGAAGGATTCAATTACGGCATGTGTGCATTAAAAAGTGTCGACTCCTGCACGACACTCCGCGTTAAAGGAAATAAAATGAGATCGCGGTGCCGGAGTGTTGGGGCGAACGGCGAGGAGACGGCGTCGTGCTCCTCAACTTGGATGTTTTTAGAAAGCGCAGTTTGCAATCTTCTCTTTCCGCTTGTCTGAAGTCTCGCTCCCTTTCCCCCTCTCGTCTTTCTCGGGGGAACCCCGAACTGGCTGGTCCCCCTCCCCTCCCCTCCCGCTGGCGAACTGTTGCAACGACAGACCGACTCCTTTCGGTTTCGTCGGCTGATTCGAGGTTTTTTTTTTCAGTCGTGAAGAGGAGAGCGGTCGCCCTCGGCTTTCAGATCGGTCTCAATACACCTTATGCAAAGTAGGTCATATGGTAATGTTGGTGATGATGATCGTAAGATGCTAAAATACTGCGGTCTGGGGGCACACGGTCTTTGCTATTGAACACATTTCTTTACACATGGGGGGTTGGGGGGTGCACACACACCCCGCATCGTGCCCGCGTGCGGTGGGCTCCGGCTCTCGAGTTTCAGCGGCTGACGACGCCTTCGGTAACGAGATTCCGTGTTGATCTGGTTTAAGAGGGATGGCTCTGACGAGATTGTGGTCGCAGGCGCTGTCGTAGTGTCTTAGTGTCTTTTCTCCCTGTCACGCCTGGAGCGCGCGGGGACCCTGGCTCGTGAGCGGAAGAGCACTGCGGCCCGTGAAAATTAAACTGTAACAGAAAATGAAAAGCGTGGGTCGGTGGGGGGGAGTTATAGAAGCATATATTTTCACATACTTGGGTTTGTCGAGATGGATCAGGGGGCTAGGTCAAATGAAACCAGGGAAAGACTTTCTGAGCAGAAAATTACATGGTTGTTGGTCCCAGCTGAAAGATAAATGCCCTTTGCTCGAGTGTGCACACGGAAAGCTGCCTGGCGGAGAAACGGCAGCCCGGTCTGTGTAAATTCTGGCTTTTAAAATCTGCTGAAATGGCTGTTAGGCCTGCGCTGTAGTCCAGCACGCGCAAGCCCTCGAGCTCAACACGCGCCGCTGTTGTCATTTAAATTGGGCAAATTCTCTGACTACGGAGCCTCACTCGCATCTGAACTATAACCCCGGGTGTTATAGTTTTCACATTCCTGTGATTTCCAGAATAAAATCCCTTTTCAGTCCACGGTGTGTGTGTGTGAGTGGATGTCATGACGTCGATTTTAGCCAGCGGCGCCAGCGCGTGCAGCTCCAGGGATGCCTACAGTGGATCAGCTGAAGGCAGCCCTGACGTCACAGAAGCAGTCCCGCTTGTGATCCTGTGCACAATGTCACAATCCCAGGGAGGGCTCCTTGATTTCAATCGAACGTTCTAGGCCTAATTTCTGATAGTTTGATCCTTCAGCGTAGGGATCGACGCGATTTCCTTTTATTTTATTAAAACAGTCCCGGTACGAACTGATGAAAGAGCAGCCCAATATTGCCTTCGTTACATTGCACATAGGAACGTTGCAACAGAACTGCTTGCGTGAAGGCACACATGTGTTGGACTAATTGTAGTAAAGCACGTGGGGTGAGACTCCCCCCGGGCAAATGAGAATTAATTACGTCATTCCGTGCCATGGAGACGTCGAGAGTAAGCCAATTTCGTTGTTTTTTTTTCGTGCGTTTGAAAACAGTAACAGTGCTGTTTTGATTCCACACATTTCTCTTCATTAACCCCTTTATTTTAGAAACCACTCATATATGTAATTCCAGCGGTTCCCAATCCTGATCCAGGAGAGATCCTGCCTGGTTTTGTTCCAGAACAGCAGTCAGTTACGCCATTGATCCCCTAACTGACTTGCATTTTAGGATTATCTTGAACTGCCGGACCGTTTCCGTCGCGTTTCCTAAGTGACAGAAAATTCCAAACTTTTGGAGTCGAGAAACAAAACCCCAGATGTTCCGGTCGAGCACGCTCGATGGTTCAATTAGGGCTTCAGCTCGAGTCAGGAGGAGAGAGCGGAAGGAGACCCAGTTGGCGGTCAGTCTCGCTCCTCGGAGCCCTACCCTCCAATCGGCACTCGATAAGAGCCGGCACATAGGCTGTGTTTTCATTTCGTCGAAGAAATCGTGAAGGCCTGAGCTGGGGTGAAACCCAGAAACACGTGCTCCCAGATCGGGGGGTGTCTCCGCCTGGACATGTCTAATCATGATCCCCGGAACCACAGGCCACCCCTCTCGAGGACAGAGGCGAGACAGATCCGCCGTGTTGAAAGAGAAACAGGTGAGGCTTTCACACGGAAGAGCGTTCGCTTTCTCGGCATATCACAGGCCGACGACACGAATTTCAGAAGAAATAAGTGAAAAAAAAAAGATTCATTTTCATACACGTAAATTTAGCACCGATATACAAGCCATTTGAAATTCATGAAGTCGATGATGTTCTATGGTCACAATCTCAGATCTAATTCTGACCAGAAGACAACGTCACTGTCTTATTAAATCCACACGCATTTAGCAGGCTGTGTTCATGCTTTGAGTTGCCGGGCGAGTAAGGTTCGGTCATCTCTCGGGAGTGAAGCACGATCTGAAAGCGTTAATAAACAGGCGGTGACATTTGCAGGCCGGAATTCTGTTCACACGAGCACGTGTAAATCCGACGAAAAACCCGACGTTCAATTTCAAAAGGCGCCGTTTACTTGACAACCCCGCCGTCGTTCCTCTCTCGTTTGCCTGTTGCTTAAGCCCACGTTCGGGGATTTACCTTCCCCCCCCCCGGTGCACGCAGCGGCGCAGCGCGAGGAGCAGCTCTTTTAATTTCCCCTGCTCGCGCGGGAGAGCACTCCTCACGAGCGGAGCGCGCCGCCGCCGGAGCCCGCCTCAGTCACGACGGGAAGGGTGCAGGCCAGCCACCCTCCATATCGTCCTCCAGATGAGATGTAAAACCGGCTCTCTGTGGTCATTAAAAATCGCTGGGTGTTTCTCAAAAAGAGTAGGGGTCTTACCTGGCCACATCCCCCCCTGGCTGTTATCAGTCAAGGCCTCCTAATGACCCCCAGCCCTGAACTGGCTTCATCACTCTGTTTACCTGCAAAGGGCTTTGAGTGGAGTGCCCAGAAAAGTGCTGCAGAAGTTTAAAAACATCCGATTATTATTTAGAAAAGCGGTTCAGATGTTCCTTACTCAGTTCTCATCCCCTCCACAGCAGAAGCCGTGGGGAAGGCTCAACCCACACATGAGCCCGGGAGCCCACAGAGGACCTGGCGGGTGTGCATGACCTCCCGCGCGCGCAAGCACAGAGCCGAGACAGAAAACTAGAGCTGCAGATGTTGTCCCGTTTTTTGGTGGCCCGGTCTCCTCCATCCCTCGCGGCCCAGGTGACAGGAGAACCGGGCAAAGCGCGAAGCTTGTGTCCTAGCGAAGTCCGGATGCACTTCCCTTGACCACTGCTTTCCATTTCCCAGTAGGCGCAGGTTTTAGATTCGCGGGTTCCCGTGAGTCCTTGCCCGAGTACTGATTCCCGAAGAGATACGGGTCCTTTAGTTGCCATGCCGACGGAGCCCCTGATTCCTTAATGGAGTCAAGTCTTCAATTAAGTGGTCCATATCGACCTTATTTCCAGATCTCAAGTCACTAGATATTAAAAGCTGCCCTGTAATCCCTGCAGTACTGAGATAATCCATTCGTGTGCTTTGCAGTCACTGCCCTGTGTTCTTAAAGCAGATGTCATTGCCAGGGACAGAGTATTCTAAAGCTGTGAGCCTCTCATGTCTCCATAATTCAGGCCCAGGTCATATCCCGGATTTAACATGCATGCCAAAAGTTTCCAAAACTGCTGCTCGAAGACAGCTTTCCGTTAGGATCATATCTGGGACACAAGGAGACTTTGGCAAATGAAACACCTCTGGAGTTGCTGTTGGCAGGTGGATCTTGTTTAACCTGAAACCTAACTGAAGTGACCATTTGATTAAATGAGAATACTTTCCTATGTGGGTTCCAGGCAGTTGTGGACCGTGAGATGTTTAAAACAAGGACTTCAGAATTCCGTCCTTTCAAGGAACAAAGCTTCCCATCTCTGTTCTTATCCTCTTTTCTTAGCTTCTGCCTAATTCTTTCGGGAACGCATTGCCTGTCTAGCTCGAACCATATTTGTCTGTTTTTTTTCCTCGTGTTGATGACAGA